AGTTCGTGTAGCAACAGGCGTGACCAGAGTGGTTTGAACGGCTGTTGTACTGCGATGTGGAAAGCAAATGGAAAAACTACCACATTATCACTTTTCCTGGATAGTCTCTTTCCAAAAACAGAAGATCGCATTAAGTGGAGGAACTTTTTGGAAGGGACTGTGGACCTGTCGTCTGACAGATTACAGATGAATTATTATACATATATAACACTGTTGGTTTAAGTGTGGCACCTTCTTTGGTGTTACTAATTCATTATCCTCGAAATCGGCGTCCTATATTCATTGTACGTTTCTCAATTACAGGTAGCTGAAAACAGACAGTGACTATACAGCAGTATGCCTGTAATAAGAGCAGAAATACGCGAAGAATTTCTGACGGTAATACAAGAAGGGAAAAGGACTGCTTCAGAAAGCGAGAGTTCGTATATGGGCGGGAAAGATACGACTCACGGGGGAGATGAAAGTGCATAGAATGTTTTAGACTTAAATCCTGAAGACACAGAAACAACTACTGCCTAGGGGTAGATGGAAGGACAACATAAAACTGTATATTAATAAAATAGGTTTGAAAGGTGTGGACTGAATTCTCTTAGATATAGAGATCAATGTCGGTCTTTTGTGAGTAAGGTAATGAACTTGGGGTTCCGCAAAAGGAGCATAATTACTATATTAAATGAGCCACCATTGGCTTTCAATGAAGAATTCTGCTCCATGGACTTGGTAAGTTGGAACGACAAGGTCTGTGTCCGTGAAAGAATCATATTTGTGAAGACTGAACGAATGTGTAGAATCCATAGCACGAACTTTGCCTCAAGCGAAATAGGGTCTGTTCACTTGAACTGTCGAAGTAAAGAAATGAGGCTACTCAGACTGATACGAAATTTCTCTTATCATCAAAACATGTAATTATTGTCACACGATCATTATAGTTTATAGTTCAATTTCATTCCGTTGAATTCACTGACGTGGCTAGATAAAAAGACCAGAACTTTACACGTGGAATACTATTATGGTTGCTAAATGTCTAAATGTTGTCTCCTTTGGCTGTCAGAAGGGCCGCTCTATAAGAGCGGGCTTCCCTTCAGTTTACATTATCTCACCTAGTAGCTTGCGTACTGGGTCACCCTGAACTGCTGAGAGTTTCCGACAATTTACCGCCATGCTCACCATAACCTGCAGTTAGACTTTATCTCGACCTATTTGAATCCCCATCCGCCCCCGCATAAAACTTATTTCTCTAAAATCTATTTCTATATGTTCCTCCCTTTGGCGCTTAAACCTCTAAAATATATCTTCCTCTCAGGTTTCAAACAAAATTGTGTATACATTAATCTCCTGATGCGTGACACACTTCACGCCCACCTCAGTTTCCTTGATGTGATTAGCGTAAAGATACTTGCTGAAGAACCATCGTCATGGCACTGTAAGACGCCAGGCTGTAAACACGCGTCGTGCAGGAGGTGTGTACTTCCTGGTTCGATTACCGGCTAGTCTCAATAAGCTTTGACGTCATTCAGAATCTACAGTTCACAATTGTTTTCTTCAGTACAACGAGACGTGACAAGATGAGACAATGAATAAACAGCCGTAAACAGTGCTTGGGGCAGGTCTGGGCGTGAGACAGCACCTGAGCGCAAAGTGCCATCTTGTTACACACTTAAGATCAAAAGCTCGCCATTGTACAAATTAATTTGTGTGAGCCAAGCAAAGGGACATATTACACGTTGTGGACTGAATTAAAATAGGCCCGAGAAATGGCAGATATTTTGTAATTTTTTGTTGACGACTTTGAACCTCCTGACTTCGTATGAGTAGAGAATTATTTTATGTGACTGAAGAAAAGTCAACCACGGAATCAGATTCTGGTTTGGAGAACAGAGAGATATTAAAGTAACAGGGAACTCTAGATCACTGGACTATCTTTAGTATACTTTAGACAGATTAAAGGTGCATTGCATCCACATTCCAGCAACAGGATTATAGGATTATCTAGCGGAAGGGGCGCCAGTTTCTGAAGCACCTGTCCTAGGTAATTCCAAGAAATCTTACTGGATTGCGGCTCGGAACAGACGTTGAAAGTTTTACAGTCTGGGAAATCAATGAGCGAACAAAACATCAAAATTACTTGACTGAACAGGGTGGAGGCAAGCGTCAGGTTTAAGGCCGCGCCATAGCTCAAGTGGTTAGTCGCTGGCTTCCCACCACGGCGGCACGGGTTCGAGCCCGGGTCTGGTCAAGTAGGATTTGTGGTGGACAAAGTGGCGCTGGGGCAGTTTTTCTCCGAATACTTCGGTTTCCCTGCCAATCTTAATTCCACCAATTGCTCCACAGTCACCCCTGACCTATCATCTGGGGCTGGTACAATAGGCCAGAAGTGGCCGCAGTACAAGAGACTTAGTCCCACCCCACTAGCATTAAAAAAAAGCATTAATTAAGCGTCAGGTTTAAGTCTCAGCTCTTTAGGCAGAGGTTTCTGGATAGCCTACGTTTCAAAATATTGCTAAACATCTATAGCGTAATGTGTGGCATATTCAGTGTTGAGGCTCCCACACACAGCTCGGTACGGTACGGGACGATATCTAATTACATTCTGTAAATTGAGGCCCCCACACTGGCGCGGGACTCCGAGGAACACTTTTAGTGTCTATGCAGAGCAATGTACTTAATACAACAGATTCATTTAGATGCATGGCCTTAGTATCTACAAGTTTCGGTTCCCTGAGGCCACCGTTACACTCATTTCAATAGTAGGCTATGACTTTACACTTGTAGGTTTTAAAACACGGGTAAAGGTTAAAGGGTAAACGTCGTGGAGGCCAACAGGCTTGTGAGAGGTCGAGGCCCCCAGAATTTATATATAATCTGCGCACAGACTGTCAGCCTTACGCGCCGGCAGCCATTTACCCCCAGGAAGATTCCTGGTACTCTTGTTAGAAGCTGAGTCGACCCCAGGAACATAGTGAGGCTGGAAGCATTAGGTCAATTTAAAAATGTAATGCCCTTGCCCGGAATCGAAACCGAGACTTTCCGGCCTGTATCATAGTGCCTCAACCAACTACGTTACCGCGTCCCCACAAAATATGGGTCATAACTTATAATTGCGAGCCATACTCAGAATCTACATGAGCAAAACCAATTTCCTTTTTAGGATTTGAGGTTCTCACACCGGTGGTTATGAAGAGTCCTCTCCTCTGGGATACAACTCCTTGTAGTGTGTATAAGCCTATTGCAACATTGCAACATTGCCTAGATAACTTACTTACTTACTCATGGAGCTGAGCTCTTCTGGAGGAGCCGCCAATTCTGCAGCTACTCAAGAATTACCCAGCATTTAGCCTAGATAACTCTTGTCACTATAAAGTCTGGCTACGGTCTGTGTATTCCAGGAGCAGCGTTTTCTCCTCTCGACCAAGCTCAGAGAATATCTGCGACCCTATCCCGCTGAGTGCCCGCGGCAGTGCGACCGAAACCTGCAGTTGATCAGTCACCTTCATTCACTGCTGGGTCCAAAAAGATTTTAATCTTCACCTGCTTGCCCTTGCGGGCCTCAAGTGTTCAGCTGTTTAGGCTCTGCGGCAATATTACTCCTACTTACTTAACTTTCCGCTCCAAATCAGGAGTGGGGGCATGGGCGACTATAAAGATTAAGAAATTAATGCACGAAGTACTTCTAACGAGTGGGTTAATTTGGAAAATAAAATAAAAAAATAAATCCCTGATACATTTGTGGTGTATGCTATATGATACCTATCCAGCAGGCAGAGGATTTGTTCCATCCTGCCCACTAGTGGATATGTGGGCTCCTTTCCTCACACTTCCCTCGAGAAGTCTGACTCTAACAGAATTTCTTGAGCACTTTACTGACGAGGTAACTTTGCATGCATGGAGGCAATGTATCGGGTGGAGCAGTAAAGTAACATATGTTGAAAAGCGGGGTGATAATGAGAAGCGTCTCAACTTTTCATCGAATTTCGTAGAAAGGGTACTATGATGTGACGAATAATCTTCTTCATGGCATGGCGCTTAGTTAATTAAGTACAGGGGCAACTTTACTTTCACGTACACCAATTAAGAATATATATTAATTCAATTCAGTAACTGCTGACAGACTTCAACTTGAAGAAAGCAGTTTTCTGGGATTGGGCACCGTGTATATGTGGTGTTAACCGACGTTTCGGAGGAACGTATCGCCTCCATCTTCAGGGTAGAAGGAAAAATATAAGAAATCCGCAAGCGAAGAGACCGTGAGAACCGCTAAAAGCAGACTGTAGACCACATATACACGGTGCCCAATCCCAGAAGACTGCTTTCTTCATAGTCACCGCCGTGAAAGCCTCAAATCTTACACAGTCTTCAACTTGTTTAACTTGCAAGCCCAACTTCACTCTGTGTCTTGCTCGTGTTCGATTCGCGGAAGACACGGATCTTTACTGATCCCTCCCCTGGGGTACAAAGGAGAAGGAAAAAAAGGGGACGGTGCAATATGTTCACCATGTCAGCCAGCTAATCGACCAATCGGTCCAGTGATCAGTGGTGGGTAGTTTGAGCATTCATAGAATGGGCGAAGAAAATTATTTCTATATGTACGTATTTCTTCGTGTTTGCCAAAGAACTTGCCATTGTTTCTTCGGAAGGGGCTGCCTTCTAAAATAATTGAAAGTCTATGAATTGTCATGAAGAGCCGCGCCATAGCTGATGCGGTTAGTCGCTGGCTTCCCACCGCGGCGGACAGGGTTCGATCCCGGGTCTGGTCAAGTGGGATTTGTGGTGGACAGAGTGGCGCTGTGGCAGGTTTTCTCCGAGTACTTCTGTTTCCCTTGCCAATCTTCATTCGACAAAATTCTCCATCATCATAATCACCCGGGGAAGGTACAATAGGCCAATCAGTGGCCGCCGTCCCGAGTGGACCCAGCTGGACTCCACACCCCACCGAATTAAAAAAAAATTGTCATGAAATTCAGACTTAATAGCTGACTGTCAAGTAATTAAGGACCACTTACAGCCTGGCAATCTCAGCTTCGCTGAAGGCGTGATTCTGCACCAGCTCGATCAGGTTGTAGTTCAGCAGACTGAAACGAAAAAACAAATTCTTGTATCTTTCATCACACTTCTGCCTAGAATTCATAAGTCAAGCTAAGTGCAGACAATTTTTGTTCTCATTTTCTTATTCTGTGTGCACGTTTAGAGAAATAAACTCGAGAATACCAATGGTATTACTAGTATTTTCGTCATGTTCGCCCTCCTATAAGACATGTGCGCTGTGGAAAACGGGTAGACTTTCTGCCATGTAAGTCGTGTCCACTCTGTTTACAAAGTATTGTATTTGATGTTTGATCCACCGGTCAAGCTGCAAATAGAAGGAGGATGAGTTGGGCATGTAAAACGAATGGGAGAGAAACAGAATTCATATAGGATATTTGTGGGAAAGCCAGAAGGAAAGAGATCACTGGAAAGACCAAGGCGTAGGTGGATGGAAAATATTCAAATGGATCTTAGATAGGATGGGGTGGTATAGATTGGATTGATCTGGGTCGTGATCGGGACCAGTGGAGGGCTCTTGTGAGCATTTTTATGAACTTTCGGGTTCCAAAAAATGCTGGGAAGTTCTTGAGTGGCTGCACATTTGGTGGCTCCTCAATAAGAGCTTAGCTCCATGACTAAGTAAGTAAGTAAGTAAGTAAGTAAGTAAGCTGAATAATATATTAGCAAATTTAGTATTGGATTGATGATATCCAGACAGAAGGCAGATATGGAGAGTAAATAAAGCACATGTTTGTTCCACCCAAATGGCTAGTTGGCCCTCCCTTTTGCCAGAGGAGTTTCTTCAGTGCTGCAATACATTCCTATTTCATTGCAGAAACTGAAGAAATGTAACTAAGATTTTCAAACAAACTGTTAAACCTACAAAATTTGAAACTTACTTAGAAGATATCCGGTTGTTTTCGTGGCCTTGACAAAAATGCAAAAACAAACTTTCCCCATGGCGGTGAGCTTTGTATATTAAGTAACACCCCTGAAACACCAGATTGTCATGTTTCTGACAGCGCAGAATACAAAAACGCGAACTGCATACTTCGGCTTCATGTTGCTAATTACAAACTGTCAGGTGTAATTAGGCGTGACTCAGAGATGAGGTCTCGGAGTCTCAGATTAAAGGGCAAGGACTGACGTGATGATGGATTAGAAATGTTAACTGCCACGCAGATGCGCCGTCTCCTGCGCAACATAGTCTCATGCTGCATCTTAAATCACAAAGCAATGACAGCACAGCGGTACAGTGGAGGCGATAAGTACGCGGAGTTTACACCAACAGAAGTACAGACATGATTTAAAGTCTGAATCCTTGCTTACAACACAGTTCAATTTGCTGTACATTAAATTAAGTGCAATGCATTTCGAGTGGGTCAGTTTCTTGGCAGCAGTGTCTGAGATGTTCCTCCTCATTACGGCTTGCAGATCGCTCCTGACGCCCACCAAGTCTAGCCATTGGATGTCGTGAGACATTCACGCGGTTAAAGCGACCCGCCGTAATGCAGAACATTCACCTACATTTAATGCCGAAATTATGAACGTGTGCAGTTATACCTCACATCTGCCTACCGTTACAAGTATGAATTACAATTGGCCACTCGATTTCAAAATTAACTTTGGGCAAAAATATTTCAATATAGCTTTCCGAGAACATTTTCAAGTATAATCTAGTCGCTTTTAATCTAGAAGGTGCGTCTGTTCGGACTGCTGAAGTGTGAGAGAAGAAAGGTACCTTGCACACGGGCATGCCTGCCGAATTCCTTCTTTTGCCTGTCTGCTTCAACGACCACGCTAGTGTTTTCATAGTGTCACGTGTAGGGAGGATCCGTGACGGAAATTAGGGTTCTAGTTCGCATGAATGGACCAAATGGCGTTATTTTACAATTACATACATGATATAACATAGATTCTAAAGGGTTCTGACGATGATGGAAAACACAGAGAATTAGTGGATTTTTTTACTTTTTCCATCGTCCGGAATTCCAGGAAATAGAAAACACTACTTTTCGGAAACTGGATCACTGCCAGTGATTCAGATTAGCTCTTTCAACTGATGATGTGCCTTCCTTCCTCACCTGAAGACGGAAACTCATCCAGTTTCCGAAAAGTCGTGTTTTCTGTTTCCTAGAATTCCGGACGATGGAAAAATTCCAAACCCCCAGTAATTCTGTATGATATAAGGTATTCAAAACTTCAACTATTCAGCTGCTTTCAGAATTCTCTTTGACTGGCGGCTTCTCGTCTGCGACAGAATGTCTCACAAACTGCTCTGTTTGGTAACACAATGAATCTTGAAGAGTCTATAGTCTCTCGAACTCTGGAACTCTCTCACACTTACTTTCTGAGTCAGAGTCTTATATTTCTCTCTCTTCACTTCACACCTACTTCCGGGTCTGTGTCTGAGTCTATATTATGACCGACGGCCAATCGGCCAGTCTGTCTTGGAATAAAGCACCCATCTGGGGCTTACGAGTCAGACTTACTGTCAGACAGTTGGGGGTTTGTTGATGTGGGGCGCTCTCTCTGACGAAATGACGGGTCTGTCGTTTGCAATTTCTGCTGGTCCTCGCCAAAGCAGTTAATCTCTGATCCGAGTCCCGTGGAACTCGCGACCATATTTTAATGTCTCGGAATCGAGACTTCCCTTTTCGTCGCCTCCTATGACTCGCAGGTCTACGGTGGAGGTATTCGACTGCGCCTCCACAGGGGATCCATAATTCCTGGTATGGCAGATCCCTCGTGTTTTATTACCTTCGGCCGACCGTGTGCCGAACACCTAATTCAAGGCTTCAGTTCCTCGTATCCCTTGTAACTTTTTGTTTATATGCGTGTTGTCTCGGAAACGTGGATGAGCCGTTGCCTAGCAAAATAGGTAGTTCTGTGTCTGGCTCCAGTATTCCGGCTTTTAGGCGGTGTTTATGGAGCCGTTTCCTGACAATGGACGCCTGGCTCCGACTCCACTATTGCGGCTTTCAGGCGTCATGTCACAATATTCTCTATCGTAAATTACATTGTTCAACAACGTTTCATCACGCAGATGACTGAAGTGGTCTCTGTGTAACTCTTACCCTGATTCTGAAATGGAAACGTCTCTTCTGTATAATCCGCGGTATCTAGCGGCACGCGATATTAAATTATATAAGATTGAGTTTAGACTGGGAGGGCGGATGTCTACAGCTTGCTCTTCCTCTCCTTTACAAGGTTATACATGGAACTGCTTTATTTTTCGTATTTAGGACATATCCACACATGTTCCATTCTGTCACACAACTTGCAGGTCGACTTTAATTTGTAAATTCCTCACTTCTTTTCGCTCTCTGGACCTCACAAATTTCATTCGTGGCTTTTCTTAATTTGTAGTACCGTACAGGTATAAATGTTTGTTTTCTCGGAGTAAGTGCATTTTTCTCGAGCCAGACAGCCGCGAAAAAGTGTCAACAATCCGAACAGTTTTCGTTCTGCGTGTGGAGAGCTTGACTTTTAAAATCTCAAAGGCAAAACCTCGTCCTCAATTAAAAAAAAACGGTCATACTTTATTTTGGTTTTAAGGAGTTGTTCTAGACGAGACGGGAGCACCTCGTATGAAGGAGATTACACGTATAGGAGTTCTGATAGGATGGTGAAATGGTGACGTCCAAAGCCGTTCGCTGTTTAAATGAAATGGAGAGGGAAGAAAGACCATTTCATGGTTCGTTGTTTCTGCTTAACAAATGTACGCGTACTAGTTAATGCTGCAAAGTCTAGACATACGACACAACCTTGCCGCCATCTTTAAGCCGATTGTCTAGATAATGTGGAACCCTCAACGTCTCACAATCCTATGCGCCTCCGAGGCCTGTTACAGGGATTGCTTTACCTTTTTACATTAACACATGAAATTTATTTTATTACTGCATTTTTTAAATTGTTGTCCGATTGAATTATATACGTAGTAACTACATTATCCACATGTAAGTTACCTTATATATTACGTTATGAAAATTAAATGTGACATTGCTGGAGTATAAAATCTGCTCAAGATTTTCTTTACTTGAGTTTCCACCAACCCGCCTCCAATGCAGTTAACAACAAGAACTCAGTCCCGGTCATTTCCATGAGGAATTTCTCCACAATCATGGGTCGATATAAAATTAGAATATAATTCCTTTCAAATTACTTTATCGTAAGAAATGCCACAATTATATACTTACAATTGTTCGGACCTCACTTTGACAGATCTGGTTGGCACTTGTCGAATATGATTATTTTCCAGGTCACTGAAAAAAAAAGGTGGCTGGATTTTAATGCCGTGAGCAAAGTCAAGCTTTTTAACAGGTAATTACATCAAGGAGGAGAGTGTGGAATGAAGAAGTGATTCTAAAAGGGGCAACAAGAAACGTATACCAAATATTTATGAGGGAAATTTTTGGGAAAACTCTTGGAAAACAATAATTTGGAAAAATAAGGATCACACTGAAATATAATATTAGACTGAATATTAGAGAACGAAATGCTGTGAACAGTACAGCTCAGAATAATGGAGTCCTACCGTGGTCGGGTCACTATGCTACAAGCAGGAAGGTCGCGGGTTCAAGTCCCTGTGAGGTCTTTGGATTTTTTCAATTGACCTAATACTACCAGCCACACTATGGCCCTGGGGTCGACTCAGCCTCTTAACAAATATGAGTACCAGGAATTAATTAAATAATTTTCCTGGGGAGTAGATCGTCATAGGCCTTGAGTTATCAGCGGTTACGTAAGAGGCTGCACAAATGTTACACTTTCCGTTACTTACGGAAAATCGTTACTTTTTCTTTTACTAACGGCTTCATTCCATTTGCACCCTCGTATAATAACGTTTTCAATGTTAAAACGAGGCTTTGTGATAGGAAAGGGAGGAGGAAGGCTTATGCACTACAGTGGGCATGTGACGTGTATGAGAAAAAGATTAGTCAGTGTGGCTAGGGAGGGAGAAGTAAGCGCCTTTCCTGTATGAATCAGGGTTGGGGCAAGGCTCCTCGTCTGTACCTCACAAAGTGGGCCGAGAAGAAAACTAAAGTGTGGTATTAAACAAAATTTATAATAGTTTCTGGACATACGAAGTGGAGTGAGCGGTTTACAACAGAGTATTTTGCGATGATCAAAAAGAATTTTCATTCCAGGACCTGCTCTCCACCGTGAATCTATCAGTTAATGAAATGTGAGATCCTGTACTTGGCAACAGTGACCACTTCTAAGGTTTCGGAATCGTATCCAGCGATAGTACGGACAAAGAAGACCCTTACATGCTCTCAGCAGAAGACTTGCTCGTTAAGTTTTACGAAAGGAAGATCACACGATGTCTTGAATGCTGGCTTTTGAAGAGGGGTCGCCTATAAGATGCCGGCCACAAAATCCTGCCCAACACGAGAAAGTTCACTCTTTGAAGCGCAAAGCTTCTTGAAACGTTTGTTAGCTCAAATGAAGGTGAATTCTAAAGTTGCATATTCTAAATTGTAGACTGCTATCACATGCAAGGCTTCAGTTCAATTTGTCACTTAGGGACCTAGTAGGTTGGTACAACCGTCATGTTGGTGCTCATGAAAACCCGAGGGCCTTTTCTTCCACATCTGCCCAATTTGAGATCAAAACATTTTCAACGCACCGAATAGAAGAACAAATTCTAGAGGTTCTCGACATGTGTTATTGAAGTAGTTACTATAGGATTCTGACGATGGTGTATAACACACTGATATATTGGGTTTCTGGATATCCATCGTCCTGGTTTTTAAGATAACAAATAAAAACACGACATTTCGGAAACTGGATCTGTTTCCGTCCTCAGGTGAAGGAACAGTGATTGAGGCTAGCTCTTTCTAACGGACCCAATAGAATAGGTGTTTCCCTTTTCCTTCACCTGAGGACGGAAACAGATCCAGTTTCCGAAACGTCGTGTTTTTATTTTTTATCTTAAAAACCAGGACGATGGATAAAGTCCAGAAACCCAATATATCAATGTGTTATTGAATTCTGCATTATTCGTCTGCTAACACTGTGTAGCTGTTATGCTTTGCAATGAATTGTTTAAAACAGAACATTAGTGAAAACTTTTGTCGGTTACTTTTAAATTCTGAAATAAATATAAAAACTTATTCCCTTCAAACTTTATAATACAGCACAAAATAAACGCCCCAGCTGTAACACTAGACTCTATTATCTCTCATGTGAAATTTTGTTTCATGGCTTTCATAAGTACGTTTTAATTTAATTGATATAGAACTTCAGCTTGTATACAGATTTAGTCATATATGCTTTCATATTGAAACGCGGTACTCAAATTCGGCTTCAATTAATTAAAATGCAATTATGGTAGTAGTATACTGGGCGAACATAAGCGAAACATTTCCCTGGACAGTTAAGTTGCTGCACGGTGTGGGGGATTACCTGACCAGCAGTAAACTCAACTTTACTTGAAAACGGCTAAACAACAGCAAAGCTGCAATACCTTTGTATTACGTGGGTAACGGACTCGACGCAGCTGTCAACACAGAAAATTCCGAAATCGAATACATTTTAAATCTAACTTTACCCAATTTTGTAGCGTCATGTCCATCAATANAAAGATAGACCAAAAACAACTGGAGAATGTGAAATGTTTTAAATATTTGGGTAGCTTGTTAACAGATGATGGAAGGTGTACTAGTGAAATTAAATCCAGGATTGCCATGGCAAAAGCTGCATTTAGCAAGAAGAAGAATCTTTTTACCAGCAAATTGGACTTAAATTTGAGGAAGAAACTAGTGAAATGCTACATTTGGAGCATAGCTCTGTATGGGGCTGAAACATGGACACTTAGGGCAGAAGATCAGAAACATCTGGAAAGTTTCGAAATGTGATGTTGGAGAAGGATGGAGAAGACCAGTTGGACCGATTATGTGAGAAATGAAGAAGTGTTAATTAGAGTCAGTGAGCAGAGGAATATCCTACACGAAATAAGAAAAGGGGAGGCTAATTAGATTGGTCATATCTTACGCGGTAACTGCCTTCTAAAAGAAGTTATTGAAGGAAAACTAGAGGCGGATAGAAGTGACAAGAAGACGAGGAAGAAGACGTAAGAAGATGCTGGATGACCTTGGGGACAGAAGAGGATACTGTCATTTGAAGGAGAAAACTCTAGATCGCATTAAGTGGAGGAATTGTTTTGGAAGAGACGGTGGACCTGTCTTCTGACAGATTACTGATGATGATGTTCATCAAATCAGGTCCGGTATCTTAGAGTACGCACTGGTTCCGAGTTTGTCTGCTTGCTGAAGTAATGGCTATACTTGAATTCGAATTAGATTAGGAGAATAACACATTATATAATTTCCGCCGTGACTAATACTTAATTAAAACAGTCCATATTATTTTAATATTATAATGAAAAAATTCTTTCTTTATTTGGAAAATCTCTGAGTCGCATGGAACACGTTTCTTTGAAGTCTACACCGAGGTTTAGACGTGCTGTGTGTCCAAAACATGGGAATTTTCTCTTTCAGAATCGTGGATTACAAGGTTCCTAGTTACACTTCCTTTATTTTTCAAGAGAAATATTGTCATGCTCTTGTGTATATGTCCCTTCGTAATGACTTTTAAACAATTTGACAAATTCTGAATAAGATTTAGGCATGTGAACGTCAAGTGACTTAAGGTCACTTTTCTATCTTATACGGCGTGTCTAAAATGTTGGGCTTATGGGCTCCATCCGGTGGTTCCCTGACTAATTAGAGTAAAAGCTAAGGTCGTCCCTGCGCCCAACTAATTAAGCACTAAGCCATAAAGGCGTATGTTGGAGTGGGTGTATAGATCCACATTTTCTTGACATTAGCACTAACTGGAGGTGAGTGGTCCACCTCATCGGGACGTTCGAACTTGTAGCATAGTGAAGAAAGCAGTCTTCTGGGATTTGGCACCGTGTATATGTGGTGTTAACCGACGTTTCGGAGGAACGTATCGCCTCCATCTTCAGGGTAGATGCAGACCAGTCTGCTTTTACCGGTTCTCACGGTCTCTTCGCTTGCAGATTTCTTATATTTTTTCTTCTACCCTGAAGATGGAGGCGATACGTTCCTCCGAAACGTCGGTTAACACCACATATACACTGTGCCAAATCCCAGAAGACTGCTTTCTTCATAGTCACCGCCGTGAAAGCCTCAAATCTTGTAGCATAGTGTCTCAACCAACTACGCTACCGCGTGCCCCCACTGAAAAGGGTCATGTCTCAAAATTCCATAACTTTTCAGTCAGTACTCTTAAGACTGTGAAGTTTCTCTTTCGGACGGAGTTTCAGTTTTATAATATTGTTCTAGGTGACAGTCGATACTGACATACTGTATCTAAAATACTGGCTATGCTCCAGTATCGAAATTGCTATTGCAGTAATTAGCATTACTCAAAGAATGAACATTTAAGCTGGCAATATTTACCTAAGACGGTGGATATCACGAAAACAAAAAGGTGATCGGAATTCAGAACTGACTCCGACCGATGGTTACAGTATTAGCAGAACTGAACTCTGACACTCCTACCAGATAGATACTTTTCGGAAAACTGACAAAATCTTACAAAGAGAATCAGATAAAGCGATATACTCACACCATGTGTAGGATTGAGTCCACTCGGAGGTGCTGCAGCTGGGGGATCTCCTCAAGTCCCGTGTGTACGATGCGTCTGAAACCAAAACACAATCTCGAATCGACAAAGAACATTTCTACAGAATGGTCCAGTTTAGTAAGCCATGAGGGCACGTTAACGCACGTGGAACACTGCGGCACATCCAAATCAAATGTAGAACATAATGTAATCCGAAAAGACAACGATAATTGGAATAATGACACCATTCTTAGGACTGGAAATGAAAGTTGGGTTCAATTACCTTCGTTTTCGGATCATTCTATGCTTCTCTAATTGGCCATCAAATTCGCACCGTTTTGAATAAAAGGCATGACGAGGATTACGCTGCACCCTTGATCGTCTCTGGTTCCACCCAGCCTCAATTCTAATGGCCACAGGAATTTATTTCCTTGGGGATACAGCGGCCGGGATGTGAAGCTGACAACTCACCTCCAGCTAGTGCCGAGGCGAAAATGCATGGAATTATACCTCCACTTCTCATTTTCTTCAGGATCTCCAGAAAAAATCTACCTTTATCATGATTATCCATGGTCTCTCTGGTTTGCATGGAAGCAAGCCACCCTCATTCCAAACGAGCTGTAGCAAAAGCGCGCATCCCAATTCAGCAATCAACATGAACGTCTTGTGAACGTCGGATACTTTTGAGTGCACCTCAGTGTTGAGGCTTTCGGGATAGTATGGGCGAATGTACAACGAAGCAAGTCTTGAGAAAATGCTTTTAAGAGTTTACATCTCCACTTAACATGGGTAATTATTAATGTACGAGTATGTCTGCAGAGTGGTCAAGAATAATGCTTCTAATTTTAAATAAGCCGTCCTGCTTCTCCTAACATTTCCGGGCCTTCCTTCAGCTTTCACAGGATATGTTGCTTCTCTCTTTTGTGCACCCGTCAAACTACGCGAAGCCAGAGAAAAGAAACAATTTTCTTGAGTTCGTTCGTACTATTCGGGACGCCTCAGTTTCACTTGCCTCTCATTTTGAAGCCGCTAAACTCAAGGGTGCTGATCAGGGTGGCCGCGCGGTGTAAGGCAGGAACTGTCTTCGCTCGCTCAAACGCTATGAATCATGGGTTGGAATCCCACTCAAGGCACGGATGTCTGTGTTGTGTGCGTTTACTCTGTGTTGTTCTGTGTGTAAGTAGACGCCTTGTGACGATCTGATCCCACGTCGAAGGAGTCCTAGCAACTGTATTTAGGATCGAGAACTGAAATAGCGGCCAAGGCCTAATAAAGGAATGTAGAGCGATAACAATAATAATAATAATAATAGTAAATACCAAAGGTAGTAACTACGAGTATGTCGTTGAAGTGTAATCAATCTCTTGACATTCCTAATTAATTTCACAAAACATGGCAAATTAAACATAAAGCAATTCTCGCTAGGAGGAGGATAAATCTTATACCGCTGCTCTTACATTAGTAAGCCATCTTAAATTTTGTGGACATAAGTCAAATTCAAAACTCGGGCATGGTATAGCCGATTTTCACACAAGAATACAAACATACATACGTCATTTTTCTCTCGTAACCCTGAACATAACACCCCTTCTCCTTATTTCTGAGTCATTGGTTCGATTTTTTACGTGACACCAACCATTTTGGGGTGTTTTACTTTTCTCATTCTATCCATAATATCTCAGTATTGATCATTGGGAGGGGGGGTGCATTTCTTGTCGCCCCAGGCACTCACTTCCAGTATTGGGTCCATTGTGAGCCCATGTTTTAACTAGGGCCCTTAGAAAACGCCCTGTCCTCAATGCTGGAACCAGAAGCTTTTCCACTGAGGCTGTACCATGCACAGCTGAAGCACTTCATCCTACGTCAGCCAGAACTGTACGAAATAAAGCGATAACTGAGAGACTGCCTGGAAATGTGCTACAGCTGCCCCTTGCCTGTCTGTTGCACCAATGTTTCTATTAGAAGCTGCATAATGCACGCACAGTTAAATTAACAAAGCACGAGAGCAAATGCGGGAGGATGTGACGTTTGAATTCAGCCCATTGCAGAAAGGTGTGCATCGTTATTGACCAGTGTAAAATTAATATTCCTTGCAGATATGTAACTGCAGAAATTACGCGCAATACAGCATTTCTCTAGTTTTCATAGCTGTTTCATATGCAACTAGCGCAGTGGCCAAGTACGAGTATCTATGCAGCATATAGGCGCTGTGCTGCTGTAATGTTCAAGCTGAGTGCTCCTGTGCTAGACACAGCTTGTGCCCTACAGTACAGTCTACCCATCGTAAGGTCAGGGGTAACAAGTATTGACAGACGCGTACTAGGAATTGCAAAAGCCGCGAGACATCTGCGTACCGTGCAGTCTGTCCCGCTCCTCAAGGTAGGTTCAGTGTTATTACAAGGAATGTGGTTAGGTGGCAGTGCTTCCGACTTCTGGTCGGGAGGTATCCGGTTTGACTCTTGGCCGCGACACTGAATATCCTCGCAGAGTTTTTTGTGGGTTTCTTCAGTCTGTTCAGATGAATGCAGGGATTGTACGTATATGACCGCTTCTTTACAAATTAAAAATCCTATTTATTATCCATTAATAATCCTACATACGTTAAATGAACCGTAAATTATCAAAATATTTCACATTAATTATATATCATATCAGCTCTAAAGTGGATAATATATGAGAAAAGATAGTGGGAAATGTCCCGGTAAGAGACGCTGTCAAGCCAGTCTAAAACGAAAGAAGGGATCAGTGCTGAGGGTAATAGAGAATTAATAATCCCCATCAGAATAGAGTAGGATTTATCTCTACTTGCCTGTACTCACAATTATATGCATGTTATAGACAAGAAAAATCCTTCGTAGAGCGAGATAAAATTTGGGGATTAATGAGAATGTAGTTGAGAGGTAGTAGAAAGCATTGATAGAGTGACTGAATGGGAGGAACACCTGGATTTGCCGTGCTCAATAAATGGTAGAAATGAAAGGCACATATAATATTTTTATCGGAAAACTCTTAATGGTTCCAAACCATTTTACACACCTCAGTCCAGTGAGAAGTCGATATTATGGAAAGAGTGATTCAAATGTGAGCTGGATTCAGCTGGCACAGAATATGGGACAATGGTGGAGTTTTATGAACACGACTGAAGAAACTGGAGTTACTTTAAATTAGTATAACATGCTTTCACCACATGAATATGTCAGCTCTCCAAATGAGATCCTGTGCCACCGTTATGCCTGTCGGTTGGAACATGTTTCCAGTGTTATGTACTAGAGAGCACTAGCATCTTACAGCAGGGGCCCATAATTTTGGTATGAATTCTTAAGACGCTTACAGAAAAAGAAAAAAACGGAACATCTAGGAAATAATTGGGGATGCTATATAGTTTTATTTCTTGTCTTACCTTATAATTATAAGCATCATTAACATTAACAACAACAACAACAACAACAAAAGCTCATGTTAAATATATCAAAAACTCAAAAACTCTGTTTTCCACATATCAGGCACCAGTAGGTTCCCTGCTTTGTGAGGATGAATTATTTAAAATAAATTAATAGTATTGTTTTTCTCTGCCTTTATACTTACTTATTTTTGTTGTCACAGACGACACAAAACCCTCTCAATTCTGGAGTGAACACAATCCGTATGCGCCCACTTCCTGCACATGATACGCTGTATCTAGTCTTACACTTCTTTCACGTTAAAGAATGGTCCCTAGCAACACAAGCATTCTGCATCCCGCGTAACAGGCACAACAAGTTGGTTTGGGCGGACAGGTCCTAACCTGTATTGTGTCTACTTCTCACAAATAACACCAAAATGTCTTATGAAAACACGGACTCGCAGACAGCAAGGTAATCGCATAAGCCGCCTTTTTTTTTAATAAGGAAAGTGTCCTAAAAATTAAAACCAAGGCATTGCATGGAATCTTATGGAATAAAAATATATGTGACATATAAAAGTAATATGTTCTGGGATACAGAGCCGTGTATTTCGGTGAAATTCAGCCGATGGTTTGGAACAACATATCCCCTCCATCTTCAGGGCTAAGTGTAAGCCACGCAATAAACCAGCGTAAAGCAGGCAGCGTGCAGAACTTCGTTTGCCGCCTGCTACATGCAGGTCCATGTTTCTCCGAAACATCGGTTAACATTTACTGTCACACGCGCCGATATCCTGCAACACAGAACTCTCCATGGCTACCACTGTGAGAACCTCAGATCCAACAAGAGGCATATTTCACAGCACAGTCCAAAGTACGTATTCTACTGCATGGAAGTGATGCGTGGCCACTCAATGAAAATTTGAGGCGGAAAATAAGCGATTACTTAAGACGTTTCCAGGTGAGACGAGAGAATAGGACGATAAAAGGGTATGGGAAGGAATTGGCCGGTCACGGTAGCCGAGAGGTCTAAGGCGTGCAATGTCTTCGCTCTCTCGGAAGCCGGGATCGTGGGTTCGAATCCCACTCAGGGCATGGATGTTTGTGGCGTTTTTCTGTGTTTGTGTACAGGTAGAGGCCTTGCGACGAGCTGATCACTCGCCCAAGGAGTCCTACCGTATGTGTAAGATCTAGAAAAACCGAAGTGAAACGGAGAGTTTCATGGAGGTAGGCCTAGGCCCAAATTGGGGCTGTAGCGCCACAGAAAAAAAATGGGAAGGAATTGGTGTTACTTCATCAGTGATAAGAAACCCGAAATTTGGAGCACTGGAATTTTATAGCAATTTTGAAAGAGTGGGGAAGCAATGCCGAAGCAAAGCTGCAGTCGTCTCCATAAGAAAGACACTCAGGAAGGCGACATACATATGCGTGGAAAACACATTACTCGTATTCAGTCCTCTAAGGGGGGTCGAAACTTAGAAGCTGGAAACTGAAGAAGTCGACCCCAAGATAGGATACCGGCAAAGAAAAGGTGTCTATTTAATGACGCTTCTCCAGCTTCAGATTACATGAACGTACAAAATCAAATAATATGACGATTCTATGAAGAAGTGGAACCATGGATCGTGGCCAATTTTGAATGCTATATGAACATTCTCCTAGAGGGACTGGGTAACACTACGAAAATATTTCAGTACCTGAAATCCGGGTCAAGAAATTGAATACTCTATTTTTCAGACAGGAAACAGGAATGCAACGATATTCAGCAATTGTAAAAACAGGAATCGAACTTACAGACTTCTAAGACTCGGCAGATGCAGCTGGAACACAGCTTCCGGAATCTTTCGAAGTAAGGGGGCGTGATTTATATACCTGAAACAGAAAATTTTCAGCAAATGAATGCACTGGTACAGCTAGATATTCTTGTACGACGAATAATCCGAATATGTGGAGCTAAGCTTCCATACTGGTCATGACACTCATGTTAAATCCAGGACAATGTATACATCAACCTTGCCGTAGAAGCAGACCTCTTTCTCTTTTTGTGAACTACCTTACATATTAGTGTTCTGCCGTGGAACTGCAGACACAAGTTGTTAGTGCCCATTTGCGCCAATGTCTGCTTGTAATGGTATGCAAAGTCCCATGTTTCGGAGTGAAACAGTGTAGCAATGTGGGTGCGTTTCCGCCCCTCTCTTTCTCTGAGCTACTTACACTGTACGAAGTTCCGTCAGGTTCTGAAAAGCACGTGACTCGATGCTGCGGAGCTGGCGTACATTATTCAGAACTCTGAAACAGAACGACGCTGTATCAATTACAACGTATATTGCGTCAGAATGAACTGGTTATAATAGTTTGCAATATGCTCCCGAAAAGACAGAGAAGCACCATGAAACTTCTGGGATGTGATGCTGTTTAGCCAGAGGCATATTGACCAACATTTCAGGGGATCGTTCTGCCTCTGGAACCTCGGTTAGCATCTGCCAGATTGGACAACGTCTCGTCTTCATAGTCATCACCGTAAGAACATCGACTTAAGCTCACTGCATTATTGTGTGGGGATGGATGAAAGAACTGGTTTACAATGTGAAGGTGGCAACGCGAGATGCTTTGCTGAGTCGCATTCTGGACGCCGCTGACCACATATGAAACAGCCAGCTGAAACTGCTACGTGCTACCCGCGCAGTTCACAACCGAGCGGCAGCCTGTGTTGCGGCCGGCGGTGGCATTTTCGAAAATCAGCTTTAAGCACCAATCAATTCAAATTAAAGGTAATTTCACGAAATTAACGTTACAGTCATACTTTAAATGTATCATGTATTAAGCTGGTTTATTATTTTGTTCCGTTTATTGTCAGTAATTGTTACCTTCTATTCTGAGTTTAAAACGGTCATAACTCCGTAACCGTCCAAAATCGGACACATGTTTATATGAACTTTTTTGATCACAAAGACCTAGGAAATCACCTCCTGCAATTATGTCCTAAAGTCGTGAAACACCCTGTATAAACACGGTTACGAAACGCCTGCTTTCTAAAACTCGTCTCCCTGAGCCATTAATACGTATATCTTCCAAATTTCGAACCCATACACAACACTAGGACGAATCATGTTTTTATACGTGACCTACTTGCAAGAGAATCTGAAATCGGACGTCATGTTCCTGCACCATATCTGTAGACCCGGGCTCGAATGTCTACCAGGAGACATGCTATCTTGACTAAGAGTTTTCGTGTTTATCCTCAATTCCTCCTGCCAACACTGAGATAGTACCTCAAGTTATTCCACGACTCCTTTGTTTCATATTCTACATTTCGAGGCAATGCTGTCCAAGCTTTAGAGGGTATCATAGAAAATAAATTAAACTGAATAAAAAACATGCTTGAACCAAATTACAACAATAATATTTGAACTTCACTGTGTTAAGAACTTAATCACAAATGTAAGTTTAACAGGTAATTTTTCTAAACTCTATTAGATGTCTCTTGGAAGGTTTCACCTCAGAATATATACCACTAAAAATTTTGACAAAACCTGGCATTGAAAGTCTACACTAAAATTTTGTGGACTGATTTAAATTGCTCTGTCGTTAACTTAGATTCTTACTTCTCTTAAAATTCTTACAGAAATTTGTCTTTTTATCATGACGACCCATTGTAAGTAATGCGTACGTATATCATAAAATAATCCCACATCTCTTGAAAGTCTGAAAACCTCTTGTAGAGTAAAATATTTGCATATTTATGCCCACTCTGCAGTAAAAGAGCAGGTGGAAAATGACGCATCCCACAATTCAGCGTTCAATGACTTCATTACAGTACTTGGAATAAATGAGCAGACCAGTGAATTGCGAGCCTAATAATGTATTTGGGATGCCTGACGTATTTGCTCCAGCAAAGGAAAACTTTCATTCCACTATTTTCCCCTTCTTTAAACAAATGCATCGGTCCATGAACCAGTTGGAAAAGTAGACAGAGACAGGGAAAATGAGTTGTTTCTGTTTCTGTATCTGTATCTGTGTTTTCAAATGGGACATTTGGAAATACGTAGTACCTCACGTTGCTTGCAGAACTGGGAGACTCAGTCCTAAGCCAAGTAATTCTCTGGTGTCACGTTCTGTTTGTTTCTGCTTGTTTCAGTCGTCCTCCTGTCGTCCCATCCCTCGCCCGGCCTTTCTCTGAAACACTGTAACTTCGGCCTTCAATCAACAACGCTTCCTCTAATCCTCTATAGTGGCAATTTGCCTCATGGTAACCGAGTATGAACCGCTAAAACACTGTCCAGTACTGAGTGATTATGTTACAAAGAAGCCAATTAAATCGTATTTTCTCAGGTAACAAAGCATCTGTATACAGACTCTTTATTTAGTTACTAGCTAAGTAATACTGCGTAATAGAGTCTCTCTTCATAAGCCCATATTTAATAAGCTCGTCAAAGGTAACCCAAATCTATGGAAGCTGAAAATTCGTTCCCGTGCCCATGAAAGCCGGGAACTGAACTATCCTGGGCGAGACAAATGAGGTCTATAATATCATACCCCATTTGTAAACACAATAGCATCCCCCCCTTCCCCTGTATCTCTGAAATTCCCTCTGTTCTTCAGGTTTTCCGAAGAACACCTTTCTCGTCCCTCCCATGCGTGCTGCATAATCGTATTCCACCCATTTCCTCATCCATGGCCCATTTATTTACACTAAATTGTTATTAATCTATAATAAATTCTCGTTGTTTCATGCAGCCCTTCCATGAGAATGGCAAATACTGTCTTCATATCCCCTTACTATAACTACACATGACAAGGTCTTCACTTGATTACGTACGATATAACTTACACAGTGACATAGAGCAACGTTTAATAACCAAATTAAATTCTACGTTTACCACATGTAGATTTCATGTAACTGTAAATTAAATGAAAGAGTTATATTTTTCATTAATTTCGCTTTTAATTTTTTTTTTGTGAATGTAACACATTACGAAACCTCCCATAAAACCGGCGCTTGAATGAAAACACTCGGAGGCTTGCATGAAGTTCCCGTAACTTAACTGTGCCGCAGAGCAAACAATTCGCTCAGAGAGAGAAGGGAAGTAAAGCCCCGCTTGTTTGTGCTGTGTGAGCTTCCTTTTCGAGTACAAGCTCTTCAGTGCACGTTTTCCAAAGGAATATATGCTTCAACCTGAGGCGTTTGGTGTCTACATATATGGGAACTTTTATACTTGACCGATACAGCGTTACAAATTTCCATAAACTATCGACTCTGACTAGAGTTGGGGCCGAGGGGTGGATGGAGACTGGAGAGGGAGTGATTTGTCTCCGCTCTAAATCACTCTAGTCATTAATCTTCCTGGATAATTCAATACGACAAAGAGGCCAGGTGGTTTTACACACGGCTTTAGAAATTCCAATTCGATAATCAGGCTTACAGCTAACCTATTTGTAACTGACTGAATAACACTAAACATATTACACATACACTCTGTTGAAATATTGTTCCAAGGTACCAAAGCATCATGCAGATAGAGTAAGCGACAAGCAGGAGAATATCACTGAGATAACACAAGAAAACAAATAATGCAATATGCGAGTAATATAAAATCTATAATATAGAATAATTAATTACTACGTAAACGAAATGATAATGATCGAATGAAGGAAGCCGAATACGACAAAAACAAAACAAAAAATACGAACTCCGTGGTTTTAGTCCGCAAGCGAACTATACCGACAGAGCGACCGCCGCTTGTCGGCGAAGTTAGTGCTAACTTTAGCTGAGAGAGGGTGTCGCGTGATCAGCTCAACAAATCCCCACAGCCGTTAATTTCGGTTTTCTAGACCGAAGCCGCTATTTCCTTGAAATAGCTCCTCAATTATCGCCACGAGGCCCAAGTGGACCCCGTTCCAGACCCACTACTTCTCAGACATTCTATAAATACACACAAGGAAGGCAGGCGAGCATTCTACTAGTGAACCTCTGAGCCACCCTGCTTCTTGTCGGCTGGTCATCAAACATCTTCTCATGAACTAAACAAATTCTTTGAAAGCAGTTTTATTACTATCCAGAAGGAAGAGGGGAGAGATGCCGACAACTGAAGAGATGGAGGGACCAGTTCAACTAACCCTGGAGTCGGAACGGGCCAAAAAGCTTACTCCTTGTATATGAAGACGATGACACAACAATGGACAAGAAGACCAAACAGATGCTGACAAGAGGGGGTTGAAACTGGTACGGATAAAAATTACCTAATCGACTGCGCAAAGGAAAGCAACTACGAAATCTTTGATATAGGACTAGAGAAATTCCACGCTGCCAGGTCGTACAGAAGTCGAGAACCTGTCAAATTTTCCACAAACCGCGAAAACTCAATTCTGTGATACAGTCCTCTAAGTTTAGTATTAATGTCTAATTTGCTAATATTTCATTGCTAACAGAGATCGGTAGCTTCTGCTGCAAAGTAACAGAGTCTCAGCTGCTTCTTACACCAAATTCTCATGGGCCTCACAACACTGAAAATTTTGCTGTCTTCAGTGGTAAGTCGTGATCTTGTGTTTGGAACAGATCCAGTTCCTAACTTAGGACAAGATACAGAACATCCGGGATGATCCTGGGGTAACATTCAACATATTCAGGACGACCCTGGGTGAACTTCTTGACCCAGTTCCACGTACACATCACATATGTGGCTCAAAAGGCAGAGTCACGTGACGCTACATCGCATGCGAATAGCCCCCGTGCAACTGCCTCTCCCGCCTTTTTTTTTTTTTTTTTGGTGAAATGAATGGCGGTTGATCAGATTTTTCTCTGGATTTCTTTCTCTTTCACCTGCTGATCATTGATTTGCCTATTGTAACTGCCCCGAGTGATTATGATGATGGAGAACTATTTGGAATGAAGACTGGCAAGGGAAACCGAAGTACTCCGAGAAAACCTACCCCAGCCCCACTTTGTCCACCACAAATCCCACTTGCTCAGACACGGGATTGAACCCGGGTCGCATTATACTGATAACCACCCGTGAGGTGTGTGATAGGTCTCACCACACTGCGCATTATCACATCCTGTATTCGATAAACTGGGGACTTTATCTGTGATTTGTCACTAAGCAGTTCCATGGTAGATAAATCAGATTTAAAGTTCACAACGCAAGGACGAAAATTCAGTACCTGTTGATCTATTTATAGTAAATCTTACGGCGATGTCCATCACTAAGACTTCATATCGTGGAATAGTAAGATGGTCAATTGAATGGATAGGAAAGGAAGTGTAAGTTAGTGGTAGATGTCCGAGTTGAGGTGCTACCCAAGCATTTATCTGAAGGAGCTGATGAAAACCACAGAAAATTATTCCAAATACAAGACAAATGAATACCGCCTAAGTTGCAGCCTTTTCAGGATTCCGTAGAAATAATTTAGGCATAGATTACAGGTTTAATGTGCCTGCCAGTGTTTTTCGCATCTCGCACGAGCGACGCACCAAATCATAGCAAATTCTCTGCGACAACAATCCTTTCTATAGTATGTAAGATTTGAGGCTTTCACGGCGGTGACTATGAAGAAAGCAGTCTTCTGGGATTTGGTACCGTGTATCCCTAGTTTGTTCGATGAGTTGTAAAGTACAAGTATTATGGGTCCGAAGCGCGAAGACCGCGTTCTTTAAGTATTCCCACAACTGTGTGTGAACGGTAGGTGGTCTTAGGCTAGCGAACATTATGAGAACTCCACTTACATTTCCCTCAGAGTGTCTCTGTAAGGTTGCAAGGCTCCTTCTCTCAGCACATGCATTCCGGCCTGCACCACAGTTCTGCAACATCAACGACAAACGAAAACTTCAAGTCACTGCGTACTTCGCAATTTGTCTTCTTGTACAGTGCAATCGTCTCAGAGCTTCCATAACATCGTTCGGCCGCTCAGGCGGGAGAGGCAGGTATTCCTCTCGTCAACTTGGACCGTAATGGTAATGGACTTGACGAAATATGAACGTATATGCATTACAGCAGCCCTGTCCAACGCGGCGTCTCGGGCGCCATGGCGCCCGTGATATATTTTTCTGGCGCCCTCCTTAACCACATATAATTGAGCCGATTTTTAATATTAATTCAAATTGTAAGACAAGAGACATTTTTGAACGTCTGAGTACTGTTAAATATTTTCGAAAAATTTTATTATTATTATTGTTTATTATTATTATAATTATAATTATTATTATTATTATTATTATTATTAGTAGTAGTAGTAGTAGTAGTAGTAGAAGTACTAGTAGTAGTAGCAGCGTGTGGTGGCGCCCGCACCTCCATAGGCATCAGTGAATTGTGCCCGAGTACATAAGAACGTTGGACAGCGCTGCATTACAGTTTCTCTTCAACATCGCCCTTAAAAATCTTTTAACAGGTACCATGAAACCAGTTTGTGTGTCGGTCGGATACCGTCGTCTTATTGTCTGAAATTTCAAGAGCGTTATGGGAATTCGCGCTGACGTTTTCAGAAACCGGTCTCCGGTGCACAAGAAGTCTCAGGGATCTTCGAGGAGAATGGTGAAGCCTGGTACCTGTGTCATCTAATTTACGAGTATCTTCTGTAAGTACTCTGCTTTTTCATTCAATTCTTTCTTCAATGAACAACGATCCTGTACTTTCCAAATTATTTACAATTGTACGGACTTGACTAGATTTCATATTGGGAACCGTTAACATACTTAAATTTGAGAGGGGATGTTCTAATTATTTTTCTTAGAAAACCGCCTCTCTCACAGGAATCGTGTTATACATGGTACTCGTTACTCAAATACGAGTATGTAACTCACACGTGGCATTTCAACACAGGTATCATGATTGATTGATTGAATGTTTCACGGAATTGAAATCTGTGTAGCAGGAGTATGAGCATATTGCCTGTCTCTCCCGCCTGAGTGGCCAAAGTATTTTCGGGCAGCTGTCAAAAATAAATCTTATTCCTTTTCATATAAATTACAGGAAAATAAAAAAAATGTGACCTGTACCCTTGTCGTACAGAGACTTGTAAGAGATTTCCAGGAAAACCTGTACAATTTGAAAGTTCGATACGTAGGTCGCTTGGACGGGTAAACACAGGATTGAGTTCTGTTCCTGGAATAGGACGCATCGAGTGTGTAACGCATTTAAGATCACATTGAACATTCGAATGGAATGATAAAACAGTTACTGGCCCCAATCTTAGACTCTCACAGACGCAGCAGGACCAACTGCTTTCAGGTCTGGAATATTTTGGACGGTTAGGAGCAAGATGAAAGGGCGTTTCATCGCAAACTCTCGAATTCCGAGAGCCCATAACGTATTGCCCTGACAACAGCATCTTCTAATGCACGTTTCTGGAACCAGTGACATGAGTAGTAATGAAAATTTCACGATGAGAAAATTTTAGTACTTTAACACGATTTCTCAACAAGGAAATTAATTAAAATATGTCAATCATCTCTAGCACTGGTGCAAGTTGCACCTCAGGTTTTCACATGAAGTTGTGAAAGCCTCACTCCACTGTCTATAGTCAGACTTATGACTTAAACATGTTTTATATAGGACAGTACTTGGGCCCACGAGGAAGGAAGCAACAGAGGAGGTTACATTGAGAGGAAAATCAGAGTTTGTATGTCTCCAAATATTATTAGGAGGTTCCATTCAAAGATAAGTCAACGAGTGAGAGGTTTAGCATGTTTGGAAGTGGTGAAATTTTTCTACTTGACTTTGGTCTCAAACATACAGGGAGGACACCACTAAGGAGACCAATGCGTATATAGTATTATAATAAGATGGAAGTTATGGAAGTGCACTAAATGAATTTGGCTGAGGATAGGATCCAGTGAGGGGATATTTTGAGTAAGGTCAGAAGCCTGCTGATTCCACAAGAATATTCTGCTCCACAGAATAATGTAGAATATCTTTCAGAATGCTGTATTTAGAAAGAAATACTTTCAATAGGATAAATTCACATAGCTAATGCAATAACAACTTGAAGGTAAACTTCTCCATATGTTAAATTAAGCACTCAAATAGGAAGACGAAGCGGAGGAGTAGTGACACTTGCCCCTAGTTAAGCGCCATCATTTTAATCGGTTATTCTTAATTTATATAAGAAGAGATTGGAATATCAGCAGGAGAAATGGTTAAGATAAGCAGTCAATGTTGCTCTTAAATGAGTATAGAGAAGTACATACAGTAAATGTAACAATCTTCTACATATTCCCCTTAATATCAAGTGTCCGCGAATAGAAGGAAACATTGAAATCTGTCCAACAACTTACATAGTTAGGCAAAAATTTACTTGTTTATCCTGGAATCCCTAAGGAACTGCATCATCTATCTAGAATGTAGGGACGCTGTGCTCCTTCTAAAATTATTATTAATGGGAGAAGCTCAGTTTACGACAATTACAGCTTTATAAATCTTAAAATTCTTCATCAGTACACCAAATACAAAACTGAAAGTGTAATTAAACTTTGTTTCGATTTGCACGAAAGTGCAGAACGAAGCAATTAAGTGCTGAAAGATATAACTTCACTTATATAATACATATAGTGCTCATAAATGCTATAAATAATAATAGTAATAATATTAATAATAGTAATAATAATAATTCAATTCAGTTCGTGTTTATTTGCCTACAAACTTAACAGCACAGAGGCCAGTAACAAAGTTGGTAGGAGTACATAGAAATACAGATATAACTAAAAGACAAAATACAAATAAGACAGTCTATATAATGTCATTAAATTAATAATAATTCCAAGAAAACTTAAAGCTGGCATTAACAGGTGAGAAGATAAAATAAGTACGTTTGGAATGGTTATTCCATTATGAAGTGAGAAAGGACAATACACATACACACACACGCACACACACACACACACATAGAAGTTAATAGTAATAATAATCCAATTAATTCTTATTTATTCGTGTGGCAGCTCAACATCCTAATTCAATTCAATTCAATTCAATTCATGTTTATTTACGTACAACTTAACAGCACAGAGGCCTATTGAAAGGTTAGCATAAGTATATAGAATTACATAAAAATAATTAAAAAANACGAAGGCTAACATTTTCCAAAAGAGAAGCGCAGGATTTAAGACCATGAAAGACCTGAACAAGAAAAAGTGCATCAAGGTGATGTCTCCGTTTATGTAAAGATTGCAGGCTTAATTTCTCTAAAGCATCAGTATAATTATATGAAATATGAAGGGAAAAACGATAAAAACAGACGGACGCAAACTTCTGCTGGATGCGCTCAAGCTTATTGGCATCAGTCGAGGTGATGGAGTTCCAAACTACTGAGGCATATTCAAACTTGGACCTGACTAACGTAAAATATAGTACATACAGACTCTCCAGGGAGGAAAACCTGTAGGTAATGGAGCGAATAGTAATAATAATAATAATAATAATAAATATAAGGTTAAATCTATTCCTGTAACAGGCCGTGAAGGCCCACAGGGTTGTGAGACGTCGAGGGTCCTATATTTTCTAGATAATCAGCTCATAGATAGCGGTGTGGTTGTCAGTCTTGCGCGCCGGCAGCCTTTACCGCCCAAGAAGATTCCTGGTACTCATTTTTCTCAGGGGCTGAGTCGAACTCAGGGCCATAGTGCGGGTGTAAGGATTAGGTCAACTGAAAAAATCCAGTGACCTCATCGGAACTCGAACCAACGGCCTTCTGGCTTGTAGCATAGTGCCTCAACCAAGTACTCTACCGCGCCACAATAATAATGACCCCTGATTTCAATTCTACAGGTCTTGTGAGTCTAGACTTTATCCGAAGAAGAAGATAACCTGACTGAACTTTTTCGTGTTTTTCCTCGGTCTCTAGATGAAAATGCCTAGAGATATCTGAAATGAGCCCCCCCAGCCCTCCGTACCCTTTCTTTCCGATTCGTTTCCCACTAATAATCGTAGCGCTTCTGTCAGCGCTCCTCCCCCCCCCCCAAAGAATAGTAAATGTGCTTCTCCTGAATTTATTACAAATTAGTAAAATACCCTGCATACATTTGTCTTTTCGTCCAACACACAATGGATTTCAAAACAGCCAGTTGCTCCATGGCTTTAATTCTTGATGTAATAGTGCTCTCTTCTGAACGGCTGGGTACACGAAGCGTTGGTATTGTTATACTTACCAGCAAACTGTGAGTTCACTTATTGCTACAAGCAGCTGTGAAACTTAGCCTCTCACTCCAAAGGTAAAGTCTAGTTGCAAGGGAAGGTGAGAATAAAGTGGTGAGGAGAATATGTGAGAGAGGAAGAAACAAGGAAATACAGAAATCTGAAAGACGAAGAAGTAAAAAAAATGTGTAATATTTCCCCAGTGTTTTAGGACGATGAAGAAAGAAAGATGAGATGGGCACCACACTCCGGTTCCTTAAGGTACGGGAACATTCATTTGTCAGACGGAATGTCGTAGAGCTAGGGAATATGACGATTCGCTTTGGGCTGTTTGCGTGAGAAGTTTAAATGCCGGACTAGAGCCTGTGCGGACAGTTTTCAACTTCGATTTAATCTCACGATTCCGTTCGACCTTCGGAGAGGAGAGATGAATAGATAGACAAACTACAACATGGCGGTACTGTGCACCCTGTAATAGAATTACAGTCCTGTACCACCCCATTTTCTGAAAGGGGCTTGGTTGGCCGCAACTTTAAATTCAATTTGAAAAGAAATACGAAAAGAACGGAAGGAACTGAAACCACGGCGCTGTCATCCAACAAGATTAACTTCACTTTTACGCTTCTTCAAGGTAGTGAGTCGACTGAGAGGCGTTACTTCATCAGGTCCACATATT